CTATGTACAAGGGATGGTTCAAGGACCCTCAAACCTGTATGCCTTCTCTGAGGGAAAGGCAGTTCATAAGAGAGAAACCCTCCATCAGTCCTGCACCCACATCCTACGCCTCCTGAGAAGCCATCCCAGGACTGTTCCTCACCGTCCTTCCTGGCTTTGTGCAGGTCTCCCAGGCACCAATTCAGAGCTGTCTCACCAGAGGTGGTCTCTGTAGCCTGTGGGCACCTCTGGGTGGTGGCTTGGGCACATACATACTGTGACTCACATTGGGAAATTCCTGTTTCTCTCCCCTGAGGGTAGGGGAAACTTATTGAGACTCAGTTCTTAACTCATCTTTCCAGCTAGGATGAAATCAGTGCTCATGCTCCTGAGTAGCCATTCCTTGAAAAGCTTCTTCCTATGCAATATTCCTCTGTGCATTCAAGACTGTGATTACTGGTCCTAAGGGCTTGTTTCCAAAATGAACACGATATAGGTACAACTGTTGCATCTGTTGTTGAATCTGTTGCAGATGTGAGGGTTGTTCTGTGAGGGGGACCAAGATGGGACCAGACAGGCAAGAAGGAATGTGGGCTGGTTCCTTTTAGCTTGGTGGTAGTGGCTTGTGCAGAGAACACCTCAACCAGAGAAAAGCTATTTGCCCACCTGTTAATCCACTCACACTGTCTGATATTCACAACGAATCTTTCTGAATAAAGAACAGAATTCAATTCATTTTCTGCATAAAGATTTAATGCTACATTATGTAGACCATCACTTTTATGGGGTTAATCAGAATAGACACACTGCAGAGGCTTTTCCAATAGATGGGGAAACCAGGAGCAGCCAGTACAGGTACAGCTGGAAGGCTGGCCTGTAGCCAGTGGTTTCTCCAGGGTAATAAATTTACAGCCTCAAACAGCCCCAACTTTCTCAGCCTATCTTTGTAGGGCAAGTGCTCCAGTGCTCTTATCAACTTCATGTCCTCCTGTGGACTTGCTCCAACAGTTCTATGTCCCTATGTTGGGAGCACCAGAAGCGTATGCAGTACTCCAGGTGGGGTCTCACAGGAGCAGAGTAGATGGGGGGAATCACCTCCTAATAGTGAAAGATGGTGAAGGGCCTTGAGGGGAAGCCATACAAGGTGCAGCTGAGGTCACTTGGTCTGTTCAGATGAAGATGAGGAGACTTAGGGGAGACCTCATTGCTGTATAAAACTTCCTTATGAGGGGCAGTGGAGGGGCAGCACTGATCTCTTCTCTCTGTGACCAGTGACAGGATCTGAGGGAATGGCTGAAGCTGTGACAGGGGAAGTTAGGTTGGATATTAGGCAAAGGTTCTTCCCCTTGAGGGTGATTGGACACTAGAACAGCTCCCCAGAGCAGTGGTAAGGGTCCCAAGCCTGACAGAGCTCAAGGAGTGTTTGGACAATGCTCTCAGATATAGTGGGATTGTTGGGGTGTCTTGTGCAGGGCAGGATTTGAACTCAGTGAACCTTGTGAGTCCCTTCCAACTCTGAATATTCTGTAATTTTGTGATCCATTGAGACATTGTTTTTTCTAGTGAGGACAACAACTACCAGCCAGCACAGCCTGGCTGTGCTGAAACACCGTCACTTGAAGAGAACTCACCCAGTGCTTCTCCATTAGCAACAGATTTCAAATACTTGCTAAGTTTTCATGACAAGTTTCTAGATTCCCTTGGTTCAAGTCAGGTGTAAGATGACCAAATATGTCATTCAATGTTTCACAGCCCAATGGACTGGAAATCCATGGAGCCAGTGCCCTCCAAGCCACCCATTAACTCAACATTTGTCAAGGGAATATGTGGCAGTACCGTGATGGGCTGCAGTGGTGGGAGCAAAGCCTATTGGTGGGTTATCAGTGATTCCTGTGTCCTAACATTTGTTCCAATGTTCTCATTTCTATGCCTCCTGCTCTGTGCTGCAATGATGCCATGTAGCAGTAAAGCTGAGGAGATGAGGGAACTAACACCTTTTACCTGCTGGTACTGGAGCATAAAAAAGAGCTTTTTAGTTGAGTTTCAAAATACATTTTGTCCCTGAGGTTCAGAAAAACCTTCTAATACTCATTCATGTCTTGGCTGTCCTGTCAGACACAATCCTGACACCTTTCAGCAGATAGTTTCATAGTATGTTAAGGGGTTGGAATGGACCTCAGAGATCACCTAGTCCTAACCCCCTGCCCTGGGCAGGGACACCTCCCACCAGAACAGGTTGCTCAAGGCTTTATCCAACTCATCTTGGAACAGTGCCAGGGTTAGGGCAACCACAGCCTCCCTGGGCAACCTGTGCCAGTGTCTCACCAGCCTCACAGGAAAAAACTTCTTCCTAATATTGAGCCTAAATTTCCCCTCTTTCAATTTATACCCATTACAGCTGATAAGTAAAATTATGAAGGGAAGGGACAGGAACAGGGACTATGAACTGATAAGGGACTCCTTTTATTGAGTCCCTTATCAGTTCATAGAATCACGGAATTATTTAGGTTGGAAAATACCTCCAAGATCATCAAGTCCAACCTGTGACTGATCTCCACCTTGTCAACTAGACCAGAGCACTGAGTGCCAAACAGCCATTTCTTGAACACTTCCAGGGATGATGACTCCCCCCCCCCCCTTGGCAGCCCCTTCCAATGCCTGACAGCCCTTTCCATGAAGAAATTCTTCCTGATGTCTAGTCTTAATCTCCCCTGGTGCAGCCTGAGGTTATGTCCTCTCCTCCTGTTGTCTGTGGCTTGGGAGAAGAGCCCAATGCTCACCTGCCTTCAACCTCCTGTCAGGTAGTGGTAGAAAGTGATAAGTTATAGCAGTAAGTGGTTTTTTCCAGAATATCAGGAGCTAAAGGCATGCTTGAGATTTTTTCACTCATGAAATTTCCTTTAAAGGCCTAGAACTCTAAGAAAGCTTCCAGTATCCCAGCCCAGGAAAATGTGTCACTCATTATTACCGTTTTCAAACAGCAAATGTTCCATATCCCTAAATAATTAGGGGGTCCAAACCCTGGCAAGGGAGGCAAGGCCTTAAAAGAGCCAAGGGAAAAAATGTCCTGTGAAAATTATAGACCAGTTTGGGTGACAGTGAGAGTATTCAGCAATTAATATAGTCCCTAATTCAAAGTCTCTAATTTTTCCTCTCGGGTTGAATAACAAAAGAGCCATTGTCCTTCTTTCTACTGCTGTTCCAAGATAAATGGCACTTTAAATTAAGGAATGGGAACATTCCTCCTCAAACGTATTTATGGTAGCAAGTTCAGTGACTGACAGGATACCTGCAGAGCCAGTCAGGATCTCTGCAAGTAATCATCAATAACTACAAGAAGTTTTGGATGTCTCATCCCTGGAAGTGTCCAAGGCCAGGTTGGACAAGGCTTGGAGAAACCTGGTCAAGTGGAAGGTGTCCCTGCCCATGGCAGGGGGTGGAATGAGATGGTCTTTCAGGTCCCTTCCAACCCAAACTGTTTGATGATTCTATGATTCTACAGTCCCAAGCCAAAAATTCAGGCTCCTCTGATACAAGCTCTTGGCCAGGGAGAAGCCCTGAGCCAAGAAAAGCTGAGGCAGGGCTAGTGTGTGCAGAATGTCACCATCCGCATTCTCTCGTGGGCATCGACCCTCTCCAGTGGGTAGGACTCAGCCGTGGGGTCCAGCGGCAGCCGGGCCGCGGGGCATCAGCACCCTGGAGAGCACCCACCGGCTCCGCTCCGGGGGTCCTTCCCTGGAGTCCCTCCCAGGGGTTCCCCCGGGGTCCATTCACAAGGTAAAGGTGATGAGATTCCGGGGGATTTCTCCCATGACACTCTTGTCTTTAGCTCCCACAAATGACTCAAGGTAAAGCAGCTCCATCCCTACAGCCACCACCGGTACAAGTTTCTGATCATCCAAAGCACTGAAATTTTGGTGAATTTGCCTTTTTTTGCACCATGGAGAATTTTGGATTTCCCATGAAATTACAGCACGGGGGAAAAAAAAATCCATACAATTCATGGATAATTTCAGTTTTATAGAGGATTTTGACTGTAGAGTTTGGAAGAATCCTCCCTGCCCTCCAGTGATATTCCTGTGATGATAACAGTGCAACTGCAGCATGGGCAGCTGGAATTTCTCTTCTTCATAAATCCCAGGGAATTCTTCATTGCTTTATGCTTTTTAAATAATTGGGAATTTGCTTTTTTAACTAACTAGAGAAAGAAGAAAACTTAGGACATTCCCACAAGTAGCCAGGTGTCATCAGTCTGTCAGAGTGGGCTCTGCCACACAGATCATCTTCCTCATCCCTGCATGAATCCAGGTGAACTCGTGACTTTAGACACTCTCCCCTCCATGTAGGCATCTCATCTTTGCTTTTTCCCATCCTGCGTGACAGGAACCCTGTAAATATTGCTGCAGAGCTGAGTTTGAGGCATGGAGTTTCAGTTTCAGGAGTGTTTGAGTGTCAGACACTGAGGCCAAGATCCCAAATCCCAGATAAGAAGTGTGTTTCAACAGTCACAGCTGAATTTAAATCACTGGCTTGGTGTGAGAGCTACCAGGACCAGTCAGTCTGAGACAAGCCAAGCAGGGGGATGAGAGGAAGTAAGACAGAAATCTTGAGCTGTGTAAAAGTGACTATGAAGAGGAGAGGAATATCAGGTTCTTTGGTGTTCATGGTGGACAGGGCAGGAATGAAGGCTTCAATGGCAGCAAAAGAAGTGTCAGGCACAAGAAAAATGTCCCAACAAGAGTAGTGCAGATCTTTCCAGAAGGCCATGAAGTGTCCACTGCTGGTGATGCATAAAAGTAGGATTCACACCCAGGGTGAGATCTTTGGGAAAACTCTCAATGGCCATGCAGCTCTACTTTTATGTCTGGGATTTGAGATTTGCCCTAGGTTTACAAAGTAGAAGCTTGGACCTGTAAACTGGCCATCCAAGGGCTGGTCTCTGCATCCCATCTCCTGCTGGGACACAGGCACAGTGTGGGCTGTGGTTAGGGTTCCCCTTTGTTGACTGCAGCCACAGCTGTTCAGTACCTGGAAACCTCAATCAGGTTCTCATCAGGGTCTCGGAAGTAGATGGATGTTATTGGACCCACAGCACCAGTTCTGGCCACGGGACCTTCTTCAATAACCACCCCACAGGCCTGGGAGGAGACAGAAGAGGAGGGGGTTAATGCTTAAGGGAGTGTTATCAGGATTTTGTGCACTCCTCCACCCAGCCTTGAAAATGTGAGCTGTTGGATCCTGACATTCTCCATGACACAGACCTTGACAGTGTCATTTGGAGCTCTGCCTTCATGTCTCTTGGGATCGCACTACTCTGTGGACACTCTATGCCTGACTCACCTTCAGATGATCCAGCAGCTTCTCCAGGGGCACCTGTGTGACAAGGCAGATATCTGCAGAGCCAGGGACTGGGTGCCGAGCCTTGGGTTCAAACTCCTTCCCAGCCTCATGCAGATTGAACTTCTGGTTGCCAAAACATAAAGCTTTACGATTTCCCTGTCCCCAGAGGAAAAAAAACAAACCACAAAATAAATGAGACTTATGGGGCTGGAAGCCTTTAGCATTCACTCATTCATGTAGTCCTGAAAACCTCGGGGACCTGATGTAGTCCTGCTAAATCTGAGCTCTTGTCCCAAGACAAGATCTCACCACTGCAAGGCTCCCATGGTATCCCTCAGGGTGTGGAGTGACCCAAGAAACGCCTACAGCCATATACAGCAACTTCCAAACCACAGTGTTGTGCGCTCTTCCACCCAGCCTTGAAAACATGAGCTGTTGGATGAGATATTCCTGATATTCCACATATAAGTGTTCAGGCTTGGACACTCTCCATTCTGCCTGTGCAGCAGCCAAATGACTAACGCACAGGCTGACACTGTTGGGGGAAAAAGCTGATGAGATGAGAAGATGATGAGGAAGAAGGTGTTGGCATCTCTTTGCACGATCTCAAGGAGATTTCTGCAGGCTCACGTGGCGGCTGAGTCCTGAGCCCCTGTGGATATGCAGGACAATGGCTACCTAAAGAACAAGCTGAGTTGTGAGTCTGCTTTGAAGAGACCTGATGGGGCAGGAGAGAAGGACCTAAGTTTGGAAGTTTCAAAGGTGCTGTGTGTACACTCAAAACAGGCAAAATGTCCTGAAGCATGGGCAGGAAATGAATTGGGTCTGTCCTGAAAATATTAACCAACTTTTCTGCTCTTTGCCAATGGAAATATCAGAACAAGAGCCTGTCAGACATCTTCAGAGGCTGTGTGGGTTTGAGGGTTCTCCTTCAGTCCTAGAAATTGTTTTTCAAAATATCTTTTTTGTCACTTCAAATACTTTCACACTGTGGTTTGGCCTTACCTCTGACTCAGATTGATTTTCCTGGAACTCAGAGCTTGATGGCCTGAAGCCTGTGCTCGTCCTACCATCCCCACCCCGAGGAGGTGCCCAGAGAACCTACTGGAGAGCCACCAAGGCCACCCACTGACCCAGAACTGCAGTTCCACTTCCCCTAGACCCAAGCCGAGCCTGTGCCCCATGTTACCTTGAAAGTCACCACCTCCATGCCCAGGACTTTGGAATAAAAGGCCACAGTGTCCTCAATGCTCTGCACAGTCAACACGAGGTGGTCCAGGTGCTGGATGAAACACGAGGGTGGAGTCATGCTCTCCTCCTTCCAGGACATTTTCTCAGGACTGGGAAGCAGCATGGAAAACCAGAGAACATGAAAGTTAGGAGCATCCAGCTACTGAGGGAAATGGTCCAGGCTGCTGTGAGCTGGGAATGGGGATCACATATGTTTTCTTTTGACCTGCAGGTGGCACAAGTACAAAAGCAATAAATTCTCCACCATGGAAGGGCCTCAGCCCCTTACTTGGCTCTGGTGGCACCTGAGCACACCAGAATCCCTGGCTGGTGCCAGGTCTAGAGGACCAGCTGGGTGACCTCACTGAGGGCTGATGTCACCAAGATTCTGAGCCCTGAATGTACAAAACCCCATGTGCACCAAGGACAGAGCATGTGTGCAATTCTTCCCTCCAACCTCCTCTGGGGTCCTCCCAACCTCCTTCACCTTCAGGTGATGCAAAGACAGAGAGTGGACATAAGCTGAGAACTGGAAGAGCAGTAGGAAATGTCTCTGGGGACATGTCTTGTAGTTTGCCTTCAAGCTGCTAGATGTCATCATCAGCCAGAGGGTAAGACTGATACCAAAGGTTTCAATGTGATGCAGCATGAGGGTGTGGGGAACTCAACAGTCTGTAGCAGTTCTTAGCCCAGAAACCAACCACATCCTGGGCTGCATCCAAAGGAATGTGCACAGCAGGTGAGGGAGGTGATTCTCCCCCTCTACTCTGCTCTTGTGAGACCCTACCTGGAGTACTGCACACAGCTCTGGTGTCCCCAAGATAAGAAGGACGTGGAACTATTGCAGCAAGTCCAGAGGAGGCCATGAAGATGATAAGAGGACTGGAGCACCTTCCCTACCAAGACAGGCTGAGAAAGTTGGGGCTATTCAGCCTGGAGAAGAGAAGGCTGGGGGAGGACCTCATAGCAACCTTCCAGGATCTGAAGGGGCTCCAGGGAAGCTGGAGAGGGACTCTTGGCTAGAACTGTAGTGACAGGACAAGGATTAATCCATGATTCTGCATGGGAAATTATTGACAAGGAGAGATGTCACAGTCCTGTTGACACAGGAGCAGGGGCAGCATAAAACCAGGAGCACTTTCAATGGGGCATCTGCTCATTGCAGCCAGAGGAGCTTGCTTGGAGCAGGACCTGATTGTCCCCTGGCCCAAGCTGGGACTACAGCATGGCCTGGACTGTGCCCAGTGACTGCACCAGTTCTGGGGGAAGGTGTCAACAGACCCAGCAGAATGTCACTGCTCCTTGCTGTTGCTGGTGTTTGGTGTTTACCAACCAACCTCACCTCAGAGCAACTTAGCTCAGTCCCTTCCACCCAGCACATCTTCCTGAATGCTCTCAGATTGCAGGACCTCCATGTCCCACAGTCTCCAGCTCCCACCTCCTGCCCAGCCAGCCTTGCCAGTGCAACCTTCCCTCCCAGATGAGCCCCTCAGCCAACAGCTGCAAGGAAAAGGAGCTGCAAAACCAGGCTATTACCTGCCAGAGAGGACAAACAGCTGGGCAAGGAGTGCTGGATGGTTCCCGTGACCAACCTCTTCCTGCTGTGTGAGTAGAAACGTCACAGGAGAATAGGAGGGGAAAATGAGATTAGAAACAGGAGTGCTGAGCACTGCACCTGCAGAGAGGTTTACCTTGACCTAAGGGACCTGAAAGTCCAACTACTTGAAAAATCCCAGTAAGACTATGGATATTTTAACCACATAGTTTTCCTTTTATGATGGAACGATGAGATAATGTGCTGTGTTAAAGCACCCAGTAGAGCTTGGTGCTCACACTGGGGTGACAGACCGAAGAAGCAAGAATAGTCCTGGAGAAAAGGGGCTGTGGCAAGCAGCCACAGCAGTCTCTCACCTCCCTGAGAACAATGTGCCTGTTCACTTCTTTGCCTCCAAGATTATTTTCTAATGCACAGCATGCTGAGTCTTATTGCCCTGAGAGGCAAATACCAGAGTTCAGGCTCTTATGTTGTTTAGATAAAAGGTTGTAATGGACAGCATGTTAGCCCCATGATCATCATCACAAGATACAGAGATTGTGTTTTCACATATGGGCAGAGAAGTCATTCAGAGCAGCCTTGGGAGAGGGACTCGGGGGTGATGGTGATGACAAACTCAACATGAGCTGCAGTGTGCACTCACAGCCCAGAAAACAACTGTGTCCTGGGCTGCATCCAAAGGAATGTGCACAGCAGGTGATGGAGGTGGTTCTCCCCCTCTACTCTGCTCTTGTGAGATCTCACCTGGAGTACTGCACACAGCTCTGGTGTCCCCAACAGAAGAAGGAAATGGAACTGTTGGAGCAAGTCCAGAGGAGGCCACAAAGCTGACAAGAGGACCAGAGCACCTTCCCTACAAAGACAAGCTGAGAAAGTTGGGGCTGTTCAGCCTGGAGAAGAGAAGGTTGTGTGTGTGTGGACCTCATAGCAACCTTCCAGGATCTGAAGGGGCTCCAGGGAAGCTGGAGAGGGACTCTTGGCTAGAACTGGGATAGGACAAGGAGTAAAGGGTATAAATTCAAAGAAGGAAAATTTAGACATTAGGAACAAGCTTTTTAATGTGAAGGTGGTGAGACACTGGCACAGGTTGCCCAGGGAGGCTGTGGCTGCCCCAACCCTGTCAGTGTTCAAGGCCAGCTTTGATAAAGCCTTGTGCAGCCTGGTCTGGTGGGAGGTGTCCCTGCCCAGGGCAGGGGGTTGGGACTAGATGATCTCTGAGGTCCATTCCAATCCCTTAAAATACTGTTTCAAAAACATGTTAGCATGTTGGGATGTTGGGACAGGAAGATTCATAAGAAAATGGGATAAAACCAGGCAACTCCCTGAGACATGAGTTTGGTTCTCTAGAACTGTAGCGCTAATTTTCTCCACTCCAGTTTAACTGGAAGTAAATCTTAGCTACAAGCAATAAAGCTATTAATATTAATAACTCTGAACTTTCATCTGTCTGTGCTGATAGAGCAATAGTGCATGTTCTGATACCTGGAAGTAGTAACAGTACATCCCCCTGGGTGTCTTGGTGTGTTCTCACTCTGGTTTAGCCCAGGTTCACTTCTGAACAGAGAAAAGAAGGAAAGTCCCTGGAGAGAAGATGCCTTTCCACTGGGAATGGTCTGCTGAAGAGGTGTAGTGCCTGCACTCATTTTGGCAGAAATTTGAGACTTGGAGGGTTTATTTACTAGTGGTGTAATGTCTTTTTTGAGCAGAGAAGCTGTGGTTTGGGTCTGAGAACTCCACTTCCCCAAGATCTAGGCTAAGACAGACAAATTAGAGGCACTTTGGCATTAAATGGGATCCATATATCAAACTTGGGAAAGGTTTTGGGTTCAGGTCCTTAAAGGTGTAGCTGCAGACAGGGGTTCCTGAGCTATTCCCAGCAGGCATCCAGAGAGGGTTTTCTCTATATGCTGGACTGAGTGATGGAGTTGAAGTAGCTTAGCAAATCCTCCATGGAGAAGTCCATGGTAATCCCTGATCCTGCATAGCAGCGTTGGATCAGATCCTCAAACTCTTGGTACTGACGGATGAACTCCTGCTCCATGGCATTCCACACCACCTGGGGAAAACCAAACCATCAGCTCCCTTCATCAGTCCATGTTAGCTACACAGGTTGTGCAGTCCTGCACCACCTAGCATATCCCAGATTTACACCCAGATTCCACTCTAATTACCGGCAAAAGATTTTCCTCTGGGGAGAGATACTTGTGGATCTTCCTGTAGAGGGTCTCCAGGGCTCTTTTTACTTCCTTGCCAGGGTATTTTTCAATGACCTTCCTCAGCTCCTGCTTGCTGTAGGCCAGCTGGAAACTGATATCCTCTTCTTTCACCCCTTGAGCCACACGGGATTTCACCCCTTCAAAGAAGTGCTGGAAAGGGAAGGAGACATTCCATGATGAGCCACTCTAAAAGCTGAAACCTGACTGCAGTTCCCTTCCCATGTCTAATTAAGCTGAAATGAAATACTGGAGATTGTTTATCCTCCAAGAAAGCAGAGTTTAGGGAATTTCAACAGTATTCTTCCCTCCCTGCCTGGCAAGCAGCATCTCTAAGGGTTGCAGTCTCCTCATGTTCCCTGGTGCTTCCTACAGCTTTGCTCACCACCAGGGCTTTGGAGCCAGAGATGGGTTTAGGGGCTTCCAGAACCTGCAGAAGTGTAAAGCAAAACTCAAGTTTTCTCAGTTCTTGTGGCATACATATCTCTCTCTGCCACAGCTGGACATGGCATCTACATCTGGTGGAAAAACAAAATGGGAATAATCACTTCCTTCATCCTACTGTCTACCCTCCTGTTCATAAAGCCCATGAACCTCTTTGCTATCCTGGGTATTTCCACTGCAATTTGGCTGTGGAGAAATACTCTAAAACGTAAGGACTTGGAGTTCCTAAATGCATGAGCTGTTTTCAATGAATAGAAATGGTCTCCTGCATTCCTTACACCCCTTTGCAACTTCTCTTGGTGTTAGTGCTCAGATTTGAAGAGCTTTGTGGTCTATGATATGTCAGAACCCTGGAAATCCCTGAGCAGAATGAAATCCAGGTACCCTCATATGCTACTCAGTTTGTAGTGAGCACTTTTTGGGTCCCTCACTTTAAAAAGGACATTGAGGTGCTGGAGTGAGTCCAGCAAAAGGAAATAAGGCTCACGAGAGGTTTAGAACACATGAGGAAGGGCTGAGGGAGTTTGGTTTGTTTAGCCTTGAGAAGAGGCCCAGAGGTGACCTCATTACTCTCTACAACTGTCTGAAAGGGGATTGTAGAGAGGTGAGGAATGGTCTCTCCTGCCATGACTGCAGGGAGAGGGCTAGAGGGAAGGGTCATAAGTGGAGACAGGAGAGATTCATATTAGATACTAGGGAAAAAAATCCTGTTAGGGTGTTCAGGCACTGGAATACATTGCCCAGGGAGGTGGTGGAATTACAATCCTTGGAAGTGTTTAAGAGGCATCTAGATCTGGTTCTAGAAGATACGGTTTAGAGTTTTGGGGTTACAGCACAGTGACAGGTTAAGAGTTGGACTTGATCATCTTGGAGGTCTCTTCCAGTCTTGATTCCATTACTATTCTGTGATTTTGTTGAAATTCCCCTTTCCCTCACAGAGGGAGGGTTTGAAGCAGGGCTGCAGGTAGCACGAGGCACTGAGCTGATCTTCCAGTCAAGCCTACAAGATGTTTGCCAGCAACAACTGGAAACAAATTGAAAGTAACAGGTCCTGTAAATAATTCAACCTCAGCTCAAGCTGTGAGACATTTTAGGCCAGTGAGAAGAGAGAAGGAGCAGAGTAGCCATCATCTCAGGGAGGAAGGGGTATGTCTGTTTGAGTTAGCAAAGGCAGATGCTCTTAGCTCAGTTAACAAAAGAGGGCTAGAGGGTCATAAGTGGAGACAGGAGAGATTCATATTAGATACTAGGGAAAAAAATCCTGTTAGGGTGTTCAGGCACTGGAATACATTGCCCAGGGAGGTGGTGGAATTACAATCCTTGGAAGTGTTTAAGAGGCATCTAGATCTGGTTCTAGAAGATACGGTTTAGAGTTTTGGGGTTACAGCACAGTGACAGGTTAAGAGTTGGGTCATAAGTGGAGACAGGAGAGATTCATATTAGATACTAGGGAAAAAAATCCTGTTAGGGTGTTCAGGCACTGGAATACATTGCCCAGGGAGGTGGTGGAATTACAATCCTTGGAAGTGTTTAAGAGGCATCTAGATCTGGTTCTAGAAGATACGGTTTAGAGTTTTGGGGTTACAGCACAGTGACAGGTTAAGAGTTGGACTTGATCATCTTGGAGGTCTCTTCCAGTCTTGATGATTCCATTACTATTCTGTGATTTTGTTGAAATTCCCCTTTCCCTCACAGAGGGAGGGTTTGAAGCAGGGCTGCAGGTAGCACGAGGCACTGAGCTGATCTTCCAGTCAAGCCTACAAGATGTTTGCCAGCAACAACTGGAAACAAATTGAAAGTAACAGGTCCTGTAAATAATTCAACCTCAGCTCAAGCTGTGAGACATTTTAGGCCAGTGAGAAGAGAGAAGGAGCAGAGTAGCCATCATCTCAGGGAGGAAGGGGTATGTCTGTTTGAGTTAGCAAAGGCAGATGCTCTTAGCTCAGTTAACAAAGGAGCCCTTTGGGAAGCTGGAAACTGTGTAGGACTTATCAGCCCAGGCAGCCGTGAAAGGAGAGTCTGCCAGGCACAGGCACGCAACCCCAAGCAGATCTGGGCTGAGATTTCTTAGCATGGCTTTGGAAATCTGCAGCCAAGTGTGTCTTGGTCCACCATCTGGAAACAGAGAGTAGAAAAAGCAGCAGAAAAAATAGAAAAATCTCTCCCATTGTTTGGATTGGCAGTAATAAAGCAGAGGGAGTGGAACAGACTTCCTGGTGAAGGCAGGGTGAGCATACCATAGAATCAGAGAATCAGCAAGGCTGCAAGAGACCTTTAATATCGTCAAGTCCAACTGTTAACCTGTCACTGCTGTAACCCCTAAACTCTAAACCATATCTTCCAGCGCCAGATCCAGGCCCCTCTTAAACACCTCCAGGGATGATGACTCCACCACCTCTCTGGACAATGTATTCCAGTGCCATATCATCTTGATACAAGCAATTTTTTTTCAGTGAGAAGAAGCAATTCTGGGATAGTCAATCAAACCTTCCCAGGGATGTCACAGAATCTCCATCACTGTAGGTGTCAGGATGTGACTGGACAGGATGATTCCAATTCATTTTGGACTAGATGACAGACTCAGGAACTAGATGGTAGCTCAGGAACCCCGGGATGCAGCTACGTCTTTGAGAAGCTGAACCCAAAACCCTTCCTGTGATTAGACTGTACCTTTGCCCAGGAGGTTGTGGCTGCCCCATTCCTGGCATTGTTCAAAGCCAGATTGGATAAGGCCGTGAGCAACCTGGTCTGATGGGAGGTGTCCCTGCCCAGGGCAGGGGACTGGGAATAGATTATCTCTAAGGTCCATTTCAACCCCTTAACATACTACAATACTATGATTCTATGATCCCTCAAGGTCCCTTCCAGCCTGGGCTGTTCTGTGATGCTACCAAGCCCTGTGCTTGCTAAGGCTGTGCTGAAAACCAGCAGCAAGTGGTCAGAGAAGTTGTGGGACCACTGGGGATGTAGCATCAAACAGATAAAATCTCAGATTGGATTCAGGCAGGTGTGATTTGAACAGCAGTTAATTCATAGCTCTGAGAAGTGCAGTTGTCATTTGAGGCCCAGAGGAGGGTCAGTTGATCCTGTACTCACATTGAGCTTCTCCAGTGGCTGGCCCAGGTACTTGATGATATATTTCTCCATGTGCTCACTGTACCTTTGCTTGGCTTCTCTCTTCTTGTCCTCCAGGCAGTGGATCTTCTTTTGGCACAAGAAGTGGTGGATGTGGTGGAAATTTTCCATCATGACCATATCTGTGTTCACCTTCAGGTTTGCTGAGGACAGACTACTGACTTAAAAGAAAGGAGGAAATCAGGTATAGAGAGAAGATCCTACAGGCTGGGTCAGGAAGGACATGCCATTAGGATGTCTCATTTGAACCATCTGACTTCCTTCTAGTACCAGAGAGAGTAACAAATCCTAACAATTCCTAACAAATCCTGGTCTCTGTCCATGAGCTTGATTCTCTTCCTATCTGCTTCAATGCAAACATTACTGGAACCTGGAAGGGGCCATGTCCATGGATTTATTGGCTGCTATTCAGTGGGACACGCCAGGCTCATCTGCAGGTGGGAGCTGCCTCTCTACACCACCTAATGATCTATGGTCATGGCTGTTACTTCTGCAGCCCCCTTGGGGTCATCTCCAGGCTGGGAATCAGGGTATCTGTGCTGTGGGCACCAGGTGGGACAACACAGTGATCTACTGAATGCATCCTGCCTTGCTCTCCCAAACCCTCTCTCTCTATCAATGCACCTTGGTGTTTTGGGGCAAGTTTCTCTTTGGCTTCTGAGACCTCTGAGTCTGATCTGGAGTGAGGAGCTACTCCCTCCTTAGTGGGACAGGAGAGGCTGGCATTAGATCCAAAGCTAAGCAAGCCTCAGCCTTTCCACAACTGGGACCATCCCACTGCAACAGACTCCATGCACCCAACATTGCACCCTCTGAATCTCTGCTGCTCCCAGGCTCTTCTCGGTGAAGGTGGTTTTAGCTCCAGAAAGTGCCCAGGAGACAAGTAACCTCCACCCTGCTCCAGTGGCTTAGCTGATTGCTGATAACTCCCGAAGCTTGCAGCGATACACTTTCCTGACCATCCAGCCACCACCCTTTGTACTCACTGCTGCTGAAGACACTGCTGGCCAGCCTGAGGTGTGCCTTGTCCAGCTCCCCTCTGCGCCGAGCTGTCCTGAACACCTCCTCTGAGAACACCACAAACTCCTTGAAGCAGCTCACAGAGGGCACGATCCCACCTTTCAACTTGCTGGGCATCTTTGCCTCCTCAATCTCTTTGCACAAGGTCCCCTGATAACAACACAGAACACATGGCACTCTCAGACCTGGTGTGACCTCAGACTTATTTGATGGAGCTCTAAGGCCAGAAAACAAGTGAAGGAATTGGTCTTGGGAACCACTTTCTCCATTTTCAATATCTTCTATGGTTCTAAGATACATGAACTTCCATGTTTGAGACTGACGTGGAGTTGTGCCAGCTGCTCTCCTGGAGCTGCCTACCTGCTCTCTCAGGCTGTGTGGATCTTTGCTCAGATTCGGCACTGCAATTTTCCCACACAGACACCCACAGCTCCTGGGGCAGAGGTGCTCACCACTGCCTCATGCTTTCCAGGTTGGTTTGTGAGCAGACTTACTGCTCCAGATCTTCACACAGAGAAGCGTTGAATGGTTTAGGTTGGAAGAGACCAAACCTCCTGCCATGGGACACCTTCCACTATCCCAGGTTGCTCCAAGTCCCATCTAGCCTGGCCTGGAACACTTCCAGGGATGAGGCAGGCACAGCTGCTCTGGGCAACCTGTGCCAGAGCCTCACCACCCTTATAGGGAAGAATTTCTTCCCAATAGCCAATCTAACCCTGCCCTGTGTCAGCGTGAAAACATTCCCCCTTGTCCTGTCACTCCAGGCCCTTGTAAATACTTTTTCTCCATCTTTCTTCTAGATTCTTCAGGTACTGGAAGGCTACAGTTAAGTCACCCCAAAGCCTTCTCTTCTCTAGGCTGAACAATCCCAACTCTCTCAGCCTTTCCTCATAGCAGAGGAGCTCCAGCCCTCATGTTAGAAGTTCAGTCTGGACATCAGAAAGAATTTCCTCATGGAAAGGGCAGTCAGTCATTGGAAGGGGCTGCCCAAGGAAGTGGTGGAGTCACCATCCCTGGAGGAGTTCAAGGAATGACTAGATATGGCACTTAGTGCTCTGGTCTAGTTGAAAAGGTGGTGATGGGTCACAGGTTGGACTTGATGGTCTTGAAGGTCTTTTCCAACCTAAATAATTCTGTGACTCTGTTTAGAAGATTCTGAAAGTGGTCAAGTATCACTCAGGTCTACTTGGGCTTACTCTTACACTCACAATGCATTTGTTGAAGCTGCTCTTGACTAGGAGCAGCAGGTTGCCAAGGAGGCTGCTGAAGAAGGATGAGGGAGGAGCTGAGGAAGAGCCCCACATGTCAAACACGGAGTCACTCAAGGTAACCAGGACCTGCAAGCAGCCCAATGGGTGAACCTTGTTGCAGACATCTAGAAATCCTCTCAGATCTGATTCCAGGCAACTGAAGATCTCTCTCAGCAGATGGGTTGTAGATTCTTCTGGTCTTAAAAAGAAACAAAAAAAGGTAAAGAATTAAAGGGAGAGGGATATTGTGCCCTGTGGACACTGCAGGCCATGCCCCTGTCAGAGCATCTGTATCTCATCATCCACATACTGGCTCCGAGGCTTGGTGCAAGAAGGATCCTCTGGAGATGCTATGCTCTCTCCTCCCTTAGTGGCAAATGCCTGAAAGAAAGAAAGGAGTGGAAATTATCATAGAGTCCCAGAATGGTTTGGCTTGGGAGGGATCTTTAAGCCAATCTCATTCCACCCCACTGCAGGGACACTTTCCACTAGCCCAGGTTGCTCCAAGCCCCATACAACCTGGCCTGGAACACTTCCAGGGATGGGGCAGCCACATCTGCTCTGCACAACCTGTGCCAGTGCCTCACCACCCTCACAGGGAACATTTTCTCCTAATATCTAATCTAATTTAAATTATGTTTTGTCTGCTCTCCCTCAGCTAGGAAAACTTGAGATCTGGGTTTATTTCTGCTGCCTCCTCTTGGAGTCCTGTGTTTAATGCTTAGAGACCCTGTGATTGTGCTGCAGCTATGAATTGAGTTTCATTCAGTTCTCCTTTTCAGCTTCCCCAGTGATGGTTTTTAGAGCCCAGCTGTGCTCTGTTATCTGACAGAGGTAAGCAGCCACCCTACTCTACCTGCTGAGGTTCATACCAAGCTGGAGGAAGGACCAGCTAATGGCACTGAAGAGGACACGGTCCTCATACTCACCTCCAGCACCTGCAGGTCTGCAGTGTCATGGCTCAGCTGGAAGAATTTCTCAATGAACTGCTGCTCTGCGGTGCAAAGGGGCTGTAGCTGTCTCAGCACCTGCTCCAACACCTGCTTAGAAATGATCCTGCATGTTAGAAAGCCTTCTAGCATGCACTGAGGACACTGAAGCAGGTGTCTGTGTCCACCTGACCCAGGTCAGCATACAAAACATATGTGCTTCTGCTCCAGTTACACAGCTCTAGAGAAAGGACCGTGGGATGGGTGACAGCACCAACACAGCTCCTGTGGGACACAGGAGTCCTTCAGAAAGCCCCAGCTCCTTACCTTGACAATGTTACCCCTGTCTGGTGTGTCCTCCTGCCCTTCTCTGCTCTCAAGGAAACTCCACCATGACTGGTGCCTGCCCCCCATGGCCATTGGCTTCTCTAAGCTCTCCTGCAGACCTGCAAGGTATGTGAGCAGGAGGTTAGACATCTCCATCCCTCTGGGCCTCTCCAACTCCTTTGAAGACTTAAATGTCTCTTTTGATGTTTCATCTTATGCCTGAATTAGCCTCTTCCTGCTGGATTGGGATAGACAGAGGATGCAGGTTCTGCTCTCATGTTTTTCTCTGCCTTCTCACCTGTTTCTCATTCTCTTTCATTACTCTCTTCTTATTTCATTGCCTATGGTGCAACTCTTGAGGGCTGGGGTGGGAAAAATCCCAGGTGATAAGAGCAGAAATCAGCACAAAAGCCTGAGAGAGTCTCAGGAAAATTGTTTACTCCTTAGTTTTGACGGTAAATTGCCATGAAAGAACATTGGGAGGGGTGTGGAAGTGGCTTTTTTTCCAAAACTGGCCTTTCAAAATTCCAAGCATTCACCTGGAAATAAATATACTTCTCAAACACTGGCAGTTTTCCCCCAGTGTTTTCACTGGGTGTTTGGCTCAAGTGGAAAAGCTGAAACAATTCTTTGAGATATGCATTTTAAAACCTCTATTACACACTGAAAAGAATCAGTGGAGAAACATACACATTCTTTTCTAATTATTTCTAAAAATCAGTAACATTCTACTATCCCAGAGGCCTTGAGTGAGTCAGGTCAGCTCTCCATTTCTCCTAACATCCAAAATATCTTTATTTGAGCCACTACCTGCAGTGCTTTTACCTTTGGGAAGGATTTGTCAGCTGCCCTCCACGCTGAGCAGGACTGAGGGATGACACCAGCTCTGCTCCTGACCTTAGCCTTGCTAAAATCATGCAGAAAATTAATGAGCTGCTTCACAAGCTTTCCAACCCTTACAAAATGGATGATGATAGTTTCACTGGCTGGGAAATGACAAAATCAGGAGAAAAATATCTTCCCACAGCAAATGGAAAAGAATTTGACAAGCCCATAAGTGTTAGTGTGGAAAAGGGAATGGGAAAATGAGGAAAGACTTAATTATTGGCTCACTATTAATTATAAACAGCTGGAGATTTGCCTTCTAAACTCTCCCATAATACTGCAAAAAGGCAATAAATCATCAGGTGATGCATTTAGAGTCATTTGCTATAACTAATCCTTAATGAGGGTATGGAATCAACCCTCCAAATTTGCTGCCACGATAAGCAGGAGAAAGGAAGTGACATGGAGAGCTGGAGACTTAGACACAATAACCCAGTGCTGGGCCACACTCAGTTTCCTCTTCTGCTCCTTTATGCACTGATGTCTAATAGTTTGCCACCTCCTTTTGAAGGTGGGGGATGGGGTGGTTCTTTATGGTTTGGTTTGGGTTTTTTCTTTGGATATGATTGTATTTTCTTCCTTAGTAATATGAGCAGTGGATCTGGGGGGGTTGTAGTAGTCAATGTAGTGGAAGGAAATAAAAAGCGAAAGGGAAGGAAGGAAGGAAGGAAGGAAGGAAGGAAGGAAGGAAGGAAGGAAGGAAGGAAGGAAGGAAGGCAATATTTTAAAGCAGGGACAAGGGATATGATCAAGCAAGTGTCCTCACAGCCTGGGCTTCCATCCATGCAGCAGCTCACCCCAGTGAGCAGCTGAGCAGGGGAAATGTTAGGAAAGACCTTGGATGGGGTTCCTGCAGAGCTTCATCAAAGGCAAACCTTCACTGCAAAACAGCCTGAGAGCAGCCAATTTTGCAGAAAATATTTCAG